GGTGTAGACCCGAATCGGGGGGAAGGGCGGGCCAGGCTCGGTTCAGGCTAATGGTGACCCGGCCCGGCCGGGTCGGGCCCGGGTCCGGGTCCAACGGCCATATTTTTAATTTTATTTTGTTTGGACTTTTGGGTCACAAAGAGCCGTTGGGGGTGGGCTGGGGACTACCCAAACGGCTATATAGTCGTTGGGTGGGTGGGCAGGGGGGTCCGGGTGGTTTGGGGGGTGTGGGTGGGGTAAAAAAAACTATAAATACTCCTAATCTTAAACATTTTTCCATATCTCTTCCTAAATCCTACACTCTACTCTCTAATTATTATCTTGATATTCATTTTCTCAAATTCTCTTATTCTCCAATATATTATATATCTACTTATATTATTTATCTACTTATAAATACATATATTTATATTACTTATATTTCTATCTACTTATATATTAGTTATCTACTTATAAATACATATATTATATAGTATTACTTAGATTACATTTTTAAGATGGAAGGTGGTAGATATTCGATTTATATGGGTAACCTCGAGCGCAACCGAACAAACGAGCTTGCGAGGAAGAAATCCCGCAAAGGTAAATCACATATCGGCTCTTCAACTCAAAGCCGAGATGATTTTGGTACAGGTTACGCAAGGAGGGATGGGGATGCCATGACCGATGAACAACTAGAACAAGAATTGCACCGACATAATAGTCGGTTTTTCCAAGACCAGCTGAGGACCATTGACGAAGAAGAGCTTGAGGACGACGATGTGGAGGAAGTACTTCCGAACAGCCACGACGGCGATGCGGAGGAGGGTGGCGGCAGCCACGACGCCGACGAGCCTGCCTCATCCCAAACAGGTACGAAAAAATGTAGGTCTGAACTAATGCAAAATAATTTTGATAAGTGGAAGGACTTGAACACCGGGAATTGGAACGCAACTTGCAAGTAGTGCAAGAAAAATTAAAGCTTGGGGATTTCCGGCGGATACGGATCCGCTACAAGGCATCTTAAGTCCAAACACCCGGTGGGGTATGCAAAATTAGGCGACGGAACGGGGAAACAAACTCAAATATCAAGATTTGCAAATAATCAACAACCTTTTGGTAATTTCTCATACAATGATGCATAAAATTTGACTGGTATGCCTAACTTACTTGTTGAAGAAAATTTGCCTTATTTGTTTTCCGAAAGTCTTGCTTTTCGTGATTATGCACAAACTTGTTTAAATCCTCAATATAGAGGTTATAGTCGCAAAACGGTTAAGAAAGAAATTTCAAGGTTTTATGGTGCGGAAAAGGTAAGGTTACAAAATTATTTTGCAAACTTTGATGGGCGTGTTACTGTATGTTCTGACATATGGGAGTATACTTATCATAATTTACATTATTTGGGTCTAACTGTACATTATATTGATAATGATTGGAATATGCATAAACGTGTTCTTGCTTTTCGTGAATTTAATAATCGTCACACCGCTGAACATATTTATATTTTGATTGAGCGTATTTTAATTGAGTATAATTTAATTGATAAGGTGTTTGCTATTGGTTTTGATAATGCTACTAATAATACTGCTGCTATTCCTAGATTGCGTGAATTGTGTGGTTCAACTTCTTTGATTAGTATATTTTTTCATCAACGATGTGCATGTCATGTTATAAATTTATGTGTGCAAGATGGTCTAAAAGTGTTAGGAGCATCTTTGGAGGTAGTCAAGGGGGGATTAGACGTATTTGGGGTAATGGTCAACTTAGAAAAAAATGGCATGATTATTTGATAGAAAGAGGTAAGAAATATGTGGCTTTTCCTAAAGATTTGTCTATTCGTTGGAATAGTACTTATAAGTTAATTGCAATTCTTCTTAGATATAAACAACATTTTCCTGCTTTTATGAAACAATATGATAACTATAATATAAACTCGGCTGAGATTGACACCTGCAAAAAAATTGTAATGATTTGGTATATTTTAATAATGCAATTGAAACTTTTAGTCATGTTTATAAACCTACCTCAAACCAATTTATTCATGAAGTTGTTAATCTCGCCGGTGCTTTTTCAAATTTTGAGAATGCCGATTATGTGAGTTATTTTGCTGGTTTTATGAAGGAAAAGTTTTTAAAATATTATTCACATATTCCGCATAATTATGGTATTGCATTTGTTCTCGATCCTCGTTTAGACTTGGTTCTTTAAAAGAATGTTTGAATTATTATTATGCTGTTTTTTTTATCCAATGCCAATGTATGACAAGAACTCAATTGATCCGAAAAAAGAATACAACGAGGTTAGTGATATATTTTATGCATTATTTAATGAGTTTCATGCACAATATGGAAACGCGCCCCCTCCCCCGATACAAACCTCTTCATCTAAAGGAAAATCAATTTTAAAATCTACATTTGCCAATCTTATTAAAAAAACTAAAACAACACACGCTACTCAACAAAGCACAATTAATGAGATTTCTTTGTATTTAACATATGATGTTGATTTTGAAGAAGATGATGACTTTGATGTTCTAAACTGGTGGAAGGGAAAAAGAAAGAATGTTCCTGCTTTTAGCAAAGATGGTTAAGCAAGTGCTATCAATGTCGGTTTCAACAGTTGCTGTCGAACAAGAATTTAGTTCGGCCGGCAATGTCCTACCGCAATGTAGAACGAGGTTGAGCGCAGAATATCTTGAGATGCTTATATGCTACCACGATTGGTTGAAGGCGGCCCGTAGAGTTCAAGAAATTGATATCACCCCATCCCAACACTTTATGGATGAATCTACAACCGAGGGTGGCTCTACCTATTACGTAGATTCCGATTGATTAGTATTTCATGTTTTAATTTTACCTTCAATTGTAACTTGTAAACTTGTAGTTCATATTTCAAATAAATATACGTTCATCTTTTTAGGCTAAAGGGTCAAATAGGTACATGAACTAACTTAAAGTGTTCAATTAGCCCCTTATATAGGAGGTTCTGCTCGGCCATCGCCAATTGGGGCGGTTCCCGGTGGAATTTTTTGATTAATTTTTTTAGCAATTTATTCATTAAGTCTAGTTTACCCATACCAAATTTCAGCTTAAAAATTCAACCGGGAAGGCAGTCAAAAGATTTTTTGAAGATAACTGCGCAGTTAAACAGCGCAGTACATTTCGGAAAATCATTTGACTGCCTTCCCGATTTCATTTTTAGCTGAAATTTGATATGAGTAAATTAGACTTAATGAAAAAGATGCTAATAAAAATTCATCAAAAAATTCCATCGGGAACCGCCCCAATTGGCGACGGTCGGACAGAACCTCCTAAATAAGGGGCTAATTGAACACTTTAAGTTAGTTCATGTACCTATTTGACCCTTTAGCCTTTTTTTATATGTAGCGTTTTTTACTGAATTCATAAAATTAGTTAATTAATTTTACATTATGTAATTTATTCAAACTAAAATAAACAAAAAAAATTGAAATCAAAGGCCCCAAACGGCTATATAGCCGTTGGAACTTGGGCACTTTGGTTGTTTGAAATTTGGATCAATAGAGCCGTTGGGGGTGGGGGTACAAAAATTTCTATAAATACTCCTATTTTCTAACATTTGTATACACATCTTCTCCAATATCCAATCTCCAATCTCCATTCTCCATCTTCGTCTCCATCTATTCTAGTATTTGTAGAATTATTATATCTACCATTTTTAAGATGGAAAGTCAATATGTCGTTATACAGTATAATTTTGATACGCAGAAGTACCTGAGGATCGGGAAAAAAGTAATGGTTAGGAAGCATATTAAGTCATGTGGGTTTCACGTGGATACGGGATGACAAGGAAGCATATGATACGCAGAAGTCATATAATTTTGGTACGCAACTTGCAAATGGCGCGGAAAAAAAGTGTAAAATGGGGGTTTCACGTTGATACGAGATGATAAGGAAGCATATTAAGTCATGTGATAAAGCCAAAGGACCGGGAGGTCCGGGAAGTTCCGATTGATTACAAAATGTATTTCATATTGTATTTTTTTTCTCAATTGTCAAATGTAGTTCCTATTTCATTTCAAATAAATGCACTTGAAGTTTGTTTTTAATAGTTGTATAAAACTATAAAGTATAAATTATATAAAAAAAGGATTTAACCGGCCCGGCCCGCCTCGAGGGGGCCTGACTCGTGACCCGGCCCGGCGGGTGGCCCGACCCGTGACCCGGCCGGGTGGCCCGGCCCGAACCGGAACCGCCTGTAACTCGGGTCAGTCTCAGGCCCACCATTCACACACCGGCGGCCCGACCGGGCCTAGGCCTGGCCCGAGCTCAACCTAGCCTAGGCCCGGGCCGGGCCCAACCTGGCCTAGGCCCGGCCCGAGCCCGACCCGGCCCGGCCCGAATCCATGCCTACCTTAAATAATGTGTCCAATCTAATATAGTGAAGATTAAAATACAGAGCGAGTACGGTACAATTGTATTTTTATTAATATTAATAATTAAATATCCCCTCATAAAATTCACATTAACTATTAATAATTAAAATTTATATATTAAAATATATATTAAAATATTTATTAAATTAAACTGGAAAACTAAATTTGCATATTTTAAATGTTTGATACACAGTTAGAGGCTAAAAAGGAATTCGACTGCAGCATTAAAAGTTAAAATTGACCAACAGAATCAGACAAAAAGGAGTTCCATCCTAAAAAATCAAGATGGAATAAACAAAAATAGTTGTCCATGTATATTAACAAAAAACGTACAAGCGAACTATGTAGTCCCGAAATTAACTTTCTACTTCCTTATTTGGCAAATTATCTACATCAAAAAAGTTCAAAACAATGTCAAAAAGTGTCGAAACAATGTCAAAACAGTAAAAAATATGTGTGAAATTAACCTCCCAATAAATTTATTTTCTTAATATGTGTGAAATCGAAGTGGGAAGTTAATTAGGGGAGGGAGTATATAGTTAAGGCAGTCAATAACAGATTAAAAAATAAATACAATTAATGAGTTACAGCACACCGTATCAAAATTAAAACCTTATTCATTGAACAAACATACATTTATTTGTGAAAGGATGAAATATTATACAAATGAATACCATTTGCAAAATACAAAACATGACTTTCCTAATTTTTGCCCCATACAAAATGTAGAAGCAGCTGGCTACAGAAACCTATAACTCCGTATTAGTAATGTGCATTTCATAATTAGACCAAAAGATCAGTAAATTAAAAGCATCTGCTCATGATACGAAAAACATCTTTTATCCATACTACATCCTTCCTTTTACCCATTTCTACTTTTCATCTCTGCTAATATGAGACCAGTGAAGATGGCAGATTTCTGTATTTTTTATGTCATACAATTTTTCCAAAAGAACCAACATATCTACTAGAAGGTCTAAAACACAACTTATTTACAAAGCACCCATGGAGGGACTAGTCAGTAGCCACCTTTTTCCTCAGTCAAATGACAGCTTCAACCTCAGGACTGAAGAAAGTATCATTAATGGGAAACACCATGAACTAAGCTAGGTTGCAGAAATGAGGTTCTAATGAGCCCAAAATAATGGTTTAATCTGTACGGAACATGTCTGCTTGAGGCTTAAACGTCCTAAGTACCAAATTTGGGAGTATAACCATGGAAACCATAAAAAGGGTGAACTGCAAACAAATTAAAGCAAATGTGTTACAAATATCACCAGAACTAAAACTGGATATAAGTTTTCATACACTAAGGGGTCGTTTGGGTGTGCTTCTATTAAGCGGTTTTAATAAAAACAATAAAAAAAACACCTATCGTTATTACTAGTATGATTTTGGCTAGATTTGCCAAAGGAAATGTTTATCTCAAAAGCAATTTAGGAAAAACCACCTGCCAAGTGCTTCTATCAAAAGCATTTTCAAGTGCCTTTTGACTTTTTAAAAGCCGTTTTGAAAATGTCACCTAAACGTCACTTCTACATGTAAAAGCGCTTTTGACACATTAAAATCACTTTTAGCAGGCCCTCTCTTCAAATGTACTACTGAGTACTTGCATAGGGCCTCTGCAAATACCGGGACAGAGTGGAACTCTCTATCTGACAGATTGTGATTATAGTCCAATTTACATCCTCCCAACGTACCGTCCGGTCGGTGTTGGGGGTCCTCAGGGATGGGGTGTCATCCTTTTTTTTACGGAGTACTAAATAGGCTGAATAGGCTGCTCTAATAAAACTGAAAATAAAAAGAAAGCTGCTTGATCACATAATTTCACTGATATAGCAAATATGTTAATTGTGCAACTTTTTACGGAGTAGGAACAAACAAAAATGAGTAGAGATTTTTTTTCCGGAATGTAGAAACAACCAAAAACAAATCATACTATACAAAAACAAATTAATACCGCAACTACTTAAGCATATAACAAAAACGACATGAAGTCACTTTTTTACTACAAAATCGGGCCACTTAACCTTTATTCGATGATTTCGTACCGGTTTTTGTGGCCGGACTAACCGGATTTGTAGTGCCTCCATGTTATTTTTTATTATATATTTAAATAGTTGCGGTATGAAGTAGTTATTTCCATAATATGTACTACGTATTTTATTAGTTGACATGGGATACCTCCACCAGCAACATTTTATTTCCTTTATTGACTTATTTATGTTGACAAAACATTTTCAAACCATCAAAACATAGGGCGTCATACCACAAGAGGGAGAGTCAAGAAACTCCAAATAGGCCACAATGCATAAGTGAGCCTGCATAAAAGCATTTCAAAAATTTAAGCAAAGATTGGTCTCAAAAGATACAAGAGACTGATTAAGAAACAATCACAAACTCCTCTTACAAGCAGGAAGATAGAAGTCCATTAAGTGTTAGAAATGGCAAAGCAGCTATGCTTGAAATTTCCCACTTCTCAGATGATTTTCTGAGTCCCCAAGCTAATGTACTAGTATACAAGAAAAAGAGAATATTCAAGCCGATGGCAAACATCCCCACATACAATGGTATTCTGCACACCAAGTAGAGAGTTCTTAAGGGTGTTAACTGAAGAAACATATAAAACAAATACAGTTTGTATCCTATTTAGTACCTCACATCAAGGTGCAAGGCACATCTGAGTTGTGTGCTTCACGAAAAATAGCACTCACATTAAAAAGAGAGTCTAGAAATTAACGATAATAGGTTTAAATATGCTTTTAATCCCTGCAAATCCCTGCAATATATATTATTTTCTTTTAATTTCTCTCTAACTCTGACAGGCTGCTTTTAGAAAGAAAAAAATGACACCTGTGTAACTCTAATGCAAACACTTTCCGTTGCTTGTAACTTTATAGACATTATTAGTGGAGTTACAACTGAAAGAAACTAATTATACACATTTTTAATAGATCATGTCCCAATGGCTCTCTTGAAATAAACTTTACGTACTTTTGGAATGGCATAGAAAAGAAAGATAGAAAGCATGTTAGTCATATTTGTTTTGCTGTCAAATGGAGGTTGGTAGGATTGATGAGAGATTAAAATTAAAAAACATAAACTACAGGGATGAAAAGAATTTGGGGGGACCTGGAACAAAATAAACACTATATCTGCAGGGAATAAAAATATATTTAGGCCAAGATACTCTAATCCTCAAAGTTTAAAGTTTAGTCCAGCTCCCATATTTGAACATTCAGAAATGTGAAGCAGTCTAAAGGAGGCACAGTTGCACATTCCTCTATCTCTATCTCTGGTAAGTGCTTCAAAGAAGTGTGACGTTGAGGACCAAGAATGTATAATTAACCCTAGAAGGTCTATTTCACAACTATGGTTGATCAACTACATAATATTGCACAATTTGGTCCTAGTCTATGCGATATAGGTCCCAAAAAAATGACGATTAAAGAGGATGAATATGGGTTAAAAGTCCTTAGTGGAGGACCAAACTGAGCCCAAAAAGATTTTGAGAACCAAAAAGTGTAACATATTTGATAACAGCACCATACTGTGTCAGCCATTTAATGAGAAACATATTAGTATATTACAAATGTTGATGATTCAGAAAAACTACTCTCTTGTGAAGCGCATGTTGGAAAAACTCGGACTTTTCTGCTTCATGATTTTTTTTTAAATCATTAACTTATTTATTCATTAAATGATAGCAAAGAAACAAGTGAATGAATAGTTTAAGGCTACAATGCAATGAGACATAGAACAGAAAAGATCCAACAAATCCTTCCAGATCGCTAACCCTACAATAATGTACACTAGTCTAACAGCCTTGATGCACTTCTACTCCAAAAAGAAAAAATTATAAATAAAAGATACGGCTTCACCAACCACCGGAAAATGAGAATTGATTTGACTAGCAACCAATAAAAGAAATTCTACCAAGCAGGAATTCTCTGAATCATTAGTTTGACCAGCCACCGAAAAGGAGATATAGTTGAGCACTTTCTTTCTCCCAAAGCGAGGTGGTGGTTTAGAAGGAAGGAGAATAATTGAGGCCTAAAAACCAGGTTAAACAAGCTTTGCCAACCATGAACAATGAAAGTTCACCACTAGATTAGTTACACCGTCAAGAAACACTGATCCTCTAGACATTGCTAGGAGAAGAAGATATCTCACCTAAAGCAGACAAACTCTCGGCCAAAGAAGAAGTCAGACCAAAACATGAATCCTTGAAGATAGAAATCAAGTAAGAGCGGAAGCATTTGAAAACCTTTAATTCGTTACTTCACTACCTAGATAATGTCGCCATCGTCCAAAACTGTTATTGGTTGAAGATGAGAAGGCTAAGAGATTAAATCGCCACCTAGAGTTTCCCTAGGGACAGTTCCCACTCATCTCACACTCTTGATGTCGATTACATGTTCTCAAGCCCCCACTTCATAAAGTTAAGATATACACTTGGGAACTAAAGGTAGTAATGAGAGCACACGAGTATAATTCTCCAACACGGAGATTCATCCACTATACAAAAGAATAGTAAGATTACAAAGATCTGTTTACAAAATTGATTCACTCAATGGTGGCTCACTCAAGCATGAGAATGAAGTCTTCCTGAGCTATCTCTCTTCTCTCTCAAAGAGGTTCTCTCACTATCTACTCTCTCACTCTAACTTCTCTCTTGGCTTGGATGAATAGGAGTGGAGCCTCTTACCCCTATTTACACTACTCCACCTCCACGATGAATGGTGGGGATTACTACTATAGTACTATCCAAGGGTGGATATTAATTCTCTAGAAAATAATTCACACTCTAGGAGTTTCTTCCATATCCTTTCAAACTCTTTCATAATGTTCTGGAAGGGTCTACACATCCCCTGAAATTCCACAGGGTTCCACACTCTTCCACAAGTTTTTATAGAGTTTTACACTTCTCAAGAATGCTATAAATTATTTTAGAAACTCTTCAATTAAGGAGGGATCTAAACAACACATTTACAAACCAGAGTACGACTCGAAATTTTATAGTATCCTTCTCCGATACCTCTTCATTTTACTACTCCATTCCATAATATGAGTCTTGTTGGGAGCTTTGGTGTCCCAAAAAAGAGTCTTGTTTAAAAATCATTTGTTAAAAAAATTCTATTGTCCCAAAAGAGTGTCTTGTTTCAAAATCTTCGGTTTTAATGACTATTGTTCCAAAAAGGAGTCTGGTTTAAAAGTCAACTATCACTGTAAGTAACATTCCTATAAATCCAATTCGCGAACAATTTTGGTAAGTTCATCCCAACAATCTTAAATAAGTTTTAGGAGTACTTCATGATATGTAAAAACACATAAAATCGCACCTTTTGTCCCTCATTTAGTATACAAACTGAAATGTCATCCCCATGTTTTTATTTTGTAAATGTGATCCTCCAATTCCTCAAAATTTTGAAAATAACGTCCTCGCCCGGGTATATTATTAGTTTCCATGTTAGTTCAAAAACACATGGAATGAGGACAATATTTGCAAAAATTTAGATAATTGAGGGATCACATTTACAAAAATAAAAACATGGGTATGCCATTTCAATTTGGGTTCTAACTGAGGGACCAAAAGTGTGATTTTCCATGTATACACTTGTACTTTGATTGAGTTGACTAAGAAATAAAAGCTGCACCCAAAAATGATTCTTTTTTGGGAAAGAAGGAGTAATGTTATACTCCGTAACACTTATGCTTTTCTCAAGATTGTTTCCACTCATGCTAGTAGATACTAACTCCGTCCCAAGTTGTTGGATTCAGTTTTATTTTTAGTGTGTCCCAAAAACATAGCTCACTTTTCTAATTTAAACACTACTAACTTTTCACTTATCACATCTTATACTTTTTCTATCTTTTACATTTTTAACTTAATGGATCTAAACTTGCTTTTCTTTCCATTTTCATTCAAACAGAAAAACATGAAAAAATTTATCTCAATGGGGTTCTTAAAGACAGTGCCACATCTTACAACAGATTGAGTTTGTGCTATGTGATGATAGGTGCTAACAGCACCAACTCATTAACAGTTAACAATTTTAGTCAAATTGAAAGCCATAAACCAATTGTTTGATTTGGAGATGACATTGAAGGACATTCAACCAAATTTAGTCAAACTGCAATAACCAAGTCCCTTAAAAATGTTTTTTTATTAAGTAACTCCATGTAATCTAATGCCCCAAGAGTAGAGATGGGAAACTTCTCGTGAACAGAGATAACCTGACATTGCCTCGGAACCTCTTAGAACTGGAGAAACCCTCAAAGCAGCGACACCAATATTAACAACATTGAATCCTAGTATTTCAAGTCTGTAATATTTACAATCGTATAGCATGAAAAATTATTCTTTAATTTTTATTATTGGTGTTGTCATTGCAACGTTCATAGGGTTACTGTAATTATTATTCAATCACATAATGACATAAGGATCAAGAAATTATATCTAAAGGACCCTAGAGCACAGAACCTACATGGACTCCTTAAAAAACATGTGATTGAAAAAGTATCGTATTGACCACAAGATCATTACTTTCTTGAAATGGACCCCATATAAACAATAACAAAATAATGCTAGGGTCTGTACAAGACCATTGGGAATGCACTTTCTTTGCGACTAATGCAGAGTACAGAGTACCTTTCCATTAACACAATATAAATTGAACAGGAATGCACATTCTTCTCAAAATCCAAACAACCAAACATAATTAAAATTGAAACAAGAATGCACATTCTTCTCAAAATCTACAAAAACCATCATAGTGAACAGACATGAAATTGATTATTACAACTGTATGCTAAAAACCTTCAAATAAATAAGGGACAATCAAGGACATACCTTCTGATGCGATTATCACGCCATAGAATGTAAATGAAATTGTAGTGGCGGTCCCCATAATAGATGATAAAAAGAACCGAGGAGAACCAAAGAAAGTTCTCTACAACCTCAACCCAACTCCGTGTAGTAGGAAATGGGGGTGACTCTGTAAAACTTCTAGAACAAGCATCATCCTCAAGATCATCGCCACTTGAAAAATACCCTTGACTGTGCCTCTGCCTCACATATCCACCTCCAACAGTTGGAGATCCACCCGACATATCCTCACTAAATTCTATGGTAAATGCTAAAACGTCCTCACTTTAAAAATGCATCTCAAGAATTGTATCCTCATCTAAATTACCCAGCACCCAATCAACAAACTCAAATTTTAATCAATCACAAGAAATCTCACTGTCAATTCACAATGCCACCTCTTGAACAGATGTATAAGCATGTGATAAAAATATAATAAGTCAACTTTAATAGCATGTCTATCCAAAGGCAGCTAAAACCAGAGAAAACCACTTGTTCAATCCCACAAGTTCGTGATGTGAAATAATAACACTCTTCAATCTCCAGAGATATCTCAAAAAATATAAATATCTGATAAATCCCACAGCTAAGATCAAAACTTCCACACAACCCAATTCACGCATTACCGAAATAAATAAGAATAGGAAACCTCGTGTGGGTATATCCTACTCCAATTAATGCATTCCTGGGAAAAATTCCCAGCATTCAAGAATTCAAACACACCTCAATTGCTAGATTCATGAATGAAATGACCATATCAATGCAACAGGAAAGAAGAGTATATGGCTGAACGTTACCAAAACTACTCAGAACCGTGCATCTCTTTGCTGTTATATCAATATAAAACCAAATAGCTTCGATTAGGAGTTTTCAGAGGCTTTGGTAGGGTTGGAAGAAGGCGACCCACATGGTTTTCGAATTATTTATTGCTCAGATTATGTTCGTTACTTCGAATTGGAACTTGGCAAGATTTTGGTTTATGATACATTCAAATTTGGTAAGAGAAAATATGTTTTAACCCTTATTTTACCATTTTCTTCTAAATCTTTTTGGGAGATAAACTTATTTACTTCCCCTAAAATTAATGACTAACTATTTAATGTTATGAGTAACATTTAAAAACTCAAATTTTTTCACTTACTAATTTCAAATCATATAATCTTTTTTGCCTCCCATCCTGACCGATCATCTTACTTTCTTAAAAAAGAACAATATAATAAAGGTTTAAATATGTTTTTAGTTTTTGCAAATATAGTACTGATGGAGTATATGGGTCCAGACCCAGACCCACATACTCAGAAGACTAAGAGGAAGCACAACTGTCACCCAATGGGTCCTCCGTCGGCCAGATAACCCTCCATTGGTCAGATAAACATCAACTCAGAATATGGTCCAGAAGACAGGAGAACCAGGGTGCCCCGTCGGCTGGGTCTCCGTCGGCCATGTCTCCATCGGCCACAGAGACCTCGAATAGCTAGATATCATACTTAGTCAATTTACATTCTTTTGTATTCGGCCCATAATGGTCGGGCCCATAATGGGGTGGCCCGGCCCGAACCAAAACTGTCCAGGCCTCAGGCCGATCCCGGGCCCATCACTCACAAACCGGCGGCCCGGCCCGAGTCCATGCCTAGGCCCATTAGTGGTCTCATTGTAAACGGGCCTCCCAAGTCCAATACTTGGGAGCTCAACTCATATTTTCCCTATAAATACTCCTATCGGGGTAGTTGTAAGGGGTTCACAAACACATTGATTGCATATTTATTGCAACTCTCTCTGGTTCTTCCTTCTCTCTAAGAGTTAATACTCTATCAAGTACATTTTAGTTTACATTCCAACAATTTTTTTTTTCGTCCTTGCAATCAATGTTGATTTTCTTTTTAGTCCATTATTAATGATAACAACCTCTGTTTGACCTCAAAATAACTCTGATTAATAGATTTTCTCTAATTCTTTACATTTTTTTAACTCTTATATTGGCTGTACAAAAATATAAAAAGACAAATTAAATATTTCTAGTAGATTTATGTAACCGACAATAATTTTTTTGTAAGTAGAGTAGTTTTATAATTAGATATGGACTAAAAACAAATTAATGCATATTGCACGGATGAAAACAGAAGACAATTTTTGCAGAGACCTAAAACAAAGTGTCATATTTGCAGGAACTAAAAACGTATTTAGGCCATATAATAACACATGTTTTGATCTCAAATTATTTTAACAAATAATTTCTTCAAATAATTTGTATTATTCAAGCATTATAGTCTTGAACAACCACACAACCATTATGATTGAAAATTAGTATACCTATGTATCACTATCATTCTATTCACAACTTGCTTAATCCTTGAATTGATGTTGTTAATTCTATCGTGAGAAAAGTCTAACTATAAATTATGGGTTACTACCAATAAAAAAAATATGTAGAATTTCCGTCTGATAATTTCCATCCGATTTTATGTGTCATACTTTAATTTGACCTAATTATTAGTAAAGTGATTGAAAAAGTAAAATTTGTGATTGAAACTTGAATATAATAAAGTGAAATATTATAGATCATATAATTATTTCCTCAAAATTTTAGAAAATGTGACACTTATTTTCGATCAACTTGAAAAAGAAAGGACAAACAAATTAATAGTAAATCGCAAGAAATTAACAGGTCACAACTGATCAATATAAATCCGTTTTAAAGAACATGTAAATGGCAAATTACGCTTTGAGACTTCTTGAACATTGTGGCTACGTATATATAGTAAAAATAGACGATGGCTTGGGGGCTTTTTGGTCTCCAAATAACAACGGCAAGTCAACAACCGTTGGGCGTTGGTATCTCGTCTTAGACATGTGCTGGTGAGGGAACTTGAAATCATGAAATCAAACGACAAAAAGTCAGTATAACGTGCAACTCAACAGTTAAAAACATTAATTTTTGTTTGAGCACTTCTGGATTTCTTAAAGCTTAGGGTTATTCAATTGATTTGAATCTAAGAACAAAACAATCAGGTCACTAATCTGAACACCAGCCTAACAAAAAAATACAAATAATTAAAACATCATATTGAATTTCATCTAATCTTTTGGGGACTAAAGCTTGGATGATGTTGTTCAGTTGTATTAAATTTCATCGAACACCTTTTCCTTTGCCCCGCAAATACCACATTAATTACAAGAATTCGAGACTACTATTTAATTAGTCATTGAGCCACTGCTCAAGCTAACCAAGTCCAGCAAAGTAGAGTACAATACACCCAAAGACAAATAGCCTAAGAACTTTCTTCTCTCAGATTCGCCATCACAAATTTCAGTTTGAAGCTTGTGTTCCTCTGAATAGCCATCCTCAATCACCAACCACCAAGAGATGCATCCTATTGGATCTTCAGGGTCAATGTGGGCCACAAGGCCAACCGTTTCCCCTTCTTCCATTTCAAACCACAATGACAAAAAGTCTCTGTTAGCCTTTATACCCGCCATAAGAGCTTCCTCGTGAAGCCACCATATGACTTGGCTGGCTACCTGAAATAAAAAGTTGCATGGCATGCTCAGATCTGTGTTTTCAAAAAGGTGGCTTAGGCGATTACGGTTCTTATGTAGTCACTACGAGATGTATTTACTACAAGCAGGTAGGTCCAGTTCACGTCAAAATTTAAGAGGCCCCACCGCAAAATGAACTGGACCCTCACAATAACTACATGATCAAGGAGAGTGAGCCTGATGTGCATATTGACTAAAACCTACGAGTAAGGTTGTAAACCAACCGAATCGAGTCGAATAGTGTGATTTTGTATTTGTATTTGTTTAATTTTTTCGAATACGAATCTGAATTCGAATATGGAACGAATATTGTTTTCGATTTGTATCCGTATTTGTTTAACAATATGTATAGTTAACGAATCCTATACGAATATCAAATCGATTTGATCATAAGTTAAATATTAGTCAAATATCACTTTAAAACAACTTTTCCTATATTTCTTACGTAGTACTATCTCCGTCCTGTTCAAAGGTTCCAACCCACTATTCGCATGGTCAACTTAAATCATTCTTAATCTTTTGCTTTATATACCAAATTTTTATCAATTTTAATTTTCTTGATCAAGCTTTGAAAAGTTTTTAATGTAGTTTCTGAATATATAAATTTTATTTACTAAAAATAATCAGTGTGTGAACAAGGATCAAGTTAATTTATCGTCAGTCAAGCATCGTAAACTGAATCGGGAACCTCTCTATGGGACGGAGGGAGTATGTTATAAATGCATGCTATGACTTAATGTGTTTTCAGAATTTAATTTGTAACATTGCATTTTTCTTTAAAATTTAATGGTTCGATGCATTTTTAGGTTGTGCACAATATACTCATATGAATCAATTTTATGATTACTGAACACAAATATATTTCAATTTTTTTTTAATGAACACTAACACACACATATTAGAAGTTATACATATCTATAATGTGTGAAATAGGTTGATAATTGCATATATATATATATATGTGTGTGTGTGTGTGTGTGTGTGTGTGTGTGTGTGTCAAGGCCAAATGACTCTAATTTTATGTTAGATGTTTAACATTGTTGATAATAAAAAAACTTCATTAGATAGTTGATGCACACACATACTATATAGTTGATTTTATTTATGTATAAATGAATATATATTTCATTATCATTCGAATCAAATACATAATTATTTGTAGGCTGGTACTGCCTAGTTTAAAGGCCGGTACTGCCAAAACATGACAGTAATTCTTCTTCTTTAGGGAATAAAACATAATAGTCCTATTTTAGAATACACAAACGTTTTTAGCTCTATTTAGAGCAATTTCCCATTAAACAAACACATATGGAGTATCTAATGATCTCCACAACAGACACTTTATCATGTCAAATATATATTAAATATAGATTTTACCTCAAATGTAAAAAAATGATACGATTACAATGTATGAAAGGATTAGTAAAAAATATTTATACAGTACATTTTATAAGCCCTGCCTAGGCCCATGACATTAGGAGAATAAGCAAAATTTCAAAACGATGGTGCAACTGGAGTATTTGTTGGTCATGTCCTTATTATGTAATTGTAAAACCCCTATTTCAGATTTTAGATGGATGCATATATTATGATTGAGCAAGCATAAAAATGAATATGCAGCAAGTTTAACCCAATAAGTAAGAGGCAAAATGCGAAGACAAGGATACACACCTGCTGCAGCAGAATAGCAGGAAGATCTGCCAAATCACAACCATATCTGTTCAAAAGGCAGTTATCATTGGATTTCCCCTCAAACAGACCAACAACATTGGGTGCACCTTCACCTTCCACGCTAATGGAATCATCACACACTGAAACCCGAGTGCGGAACTGAGACTTAACATTCTTGTCCAGGTAGGATGTGGGAACTTTCTTTCCTGCTGCATTGAGAATTGACTGAGGTACCTTCATCAAGAGTGTCCAGGAAGACTTTCGAGAGTGCCAAGTTAGGTGAGATATCAATTCCACATAAGGCGTTCGGTTAACCTTCAACAATGAATGAAAAACTAATTTTTAAGTTGAGATTCAAATCCATTTCCCTTCAGAGTATAAGTTTTGAAAACTTGATGTATATTTATATTACTTAGTCTTTATATAAAAGCAATATCTAACATAATTAGAATGAGTTCGAACATAAATATAGACAATTAATAAGAGAAAGGTAGGGATAGAGGAAACACGATGCTAATGGAAAGGACTTGTAGGTTTGGTTTACGACTTAAAATTTTTAAAAATAAGAAGGAAAATCAAATTTGATTAAAACTTTTAAAAAGTTTACATAAGTTTATATTTCTTAGTCTTTTATACTAAGAAATATACGATAAAATGAGTTTGAACAATTTTCTTATTTTCCCCCAAGTCTTCCTTGCTTCCAAATTTCCCATATATTTTCCTCACCGTTTTATTTCGCAAGTACTCTTCGAGATATAAATAGACCCTAAAAGAAGCAATAAACATCATACCAGACTTTCCAGCTCTGCAAG